ACAGAAGGGACAGGCCAGAGAAAACGATAGAAAGTGTCCAAAGTTTTAATTTCAAGCTGAATAAAAACAGAAACACTGCACAGTGTGTGTACCACAGCGTCAATGCTAGCTAGCAAACAGCTACAAGTCATTGTTTTTTTATTTCTGATTTGATTTACTATTGCTCTTAAATAACACAAATGCATTAATGGATTAATTAGGAGAATACTCGATAGCTGCAGCCCTACACCGAACTGTTTTCTACAAAGACATGGTTGAACTCTCAGTGGATTTCTCCTCTTATTCTTGACGTGATGAAGGTTCTTGACAGTTCGTGAAAGTATGCTTTCGGCCCAAAACAGGCTTGTCGGCACACATCCTTTTGTAAACGTTTTTATCTCCTGCGTGAACAAGGTGTAATGTGCCAAGCCGTGGCTGTGTTTCTGTCAGATGTAGCTCTGACAACATTTTCTGTCCTCTGAATCCTTCCCGCACTTTAACATCCTCGGACACCCCACCTCTGCAGCCCGCAGGAAGTGTGCACGCGTGTCCTTGAAGTCTTAAGCGAGCCAAACTCGGTGATTTCCACTCGAGCTTTAACTCTGCACAGCGACAGTGATAGATGTGCTGATCTCCTCCTGTATAATTTCTCAGCCTCCCTCCTCCCTGCTCCCTCTCTGTTTCCTACCCTCGCTTATATTTTAATAGAATGAGCAGACCCCAAATAATTTGCCAATAAATGAGCTTTTTCCTCTTTATCTCCTCCGGGATAAGCCTCTTAGTGTATGTAAGCAAACTCAAATAATGCTGATTTGTAATCTGTAGTCAATTTGTTTACACTTGCAGTTTTGCAGACTCATTTCCGAGTTTCATCATGACCGCTCAGGGAAATAAATATGTTAACAACAAGAATGTTTTTACCAGTGAGAACTGACAATTAGGAATGCACTGGTCTGACCTTTTTATCCAACTATGCTGCTACTCTGGGGAATCTGGCCATACAGGTTTTTAACTGCGGACACGAACATCCCTCTTAGACCTGTGCAAGTTGTATTTGCATTGTTTCGAAGGTTTATAATCGGTTTCCCCCACTTCAAATCTCCTCTAACCTGCCTCTGGCTGTTTGACTTCTGGTCTGGTGCCACACTGTTGATGTAGCATGAAATTCGATCCGGAATCTACTCGCCGTGTTTATCGCAGTTATTTCTGGGACAATATAATGTCCAGAAAAAGTAGTTATTTTGACAGGCCTATGTCATTACATTAGCTTGTCTAATACATGTACTTAAGGATCCGATCACATTGTTTAACTGATCAGTATTTGCTTTATTGGGCTATACTGAGCCTTATTGACCAGATCCAATCTTTTGTTTTATGTCAGCTGTCACATGGCTGTTATTACTCACAAAGCTTTCATGCAGAAAGATTTAACGTCAGTCAAAAAAGGACTGGAGCGGCCTTTAATTGTGCAAACACACTAATCCTTCAACACTGCTGTGTCTCCATGAGAGTCAATATGCAATGTAATGAAAGCGATTTCATACATAAATTGTAATAAGTGCAGAAACTGCATTAATCTACTTTTAGAAAAACTCTTTGTTAATGTTAGCAAATCAAAAATGTCCTGGTCACAGTGAAGCCTTACCACCTTCACACTGAAATGCGTTTATTGTAAAGTGTCAGCAGAAGCAAATGAATGGAGCTGAACAGAAAACCATTTAACGTGGATCACTCACTTCTGGCTGATCTCCAATCAGCCTAATAAGGTCAGTATCGATGGATCGGATCTAATGCATCCCCACAGATAAGCTTTTAATGTCACAGTAATATTTTCTACAGAAATGATAACTCCTTATTATGACATCTCATTATTTTAATTAACCAGTAACCAGTCTTTGTCTCAGCAAATCAGAAGCTAGTAAAGCCAACAAGTTACCTTGTTTAGGTTTAACTTGTTTTCTAATTAGTAAATCTTAATCTGAGCTCCTTCTGTACGTGTATGTTAGATTGTTGTTTAGTTTAAAAATGTCCTTGTGTTTGTCCATTTTTGCATTGCAGTAGTGTCTGTTTATATCCAGTATTTTACAGTGATGATGTAGCAGTTAAACAAAGAAGCTGTAGTTATAAGTCATAAACATTATGTAAACTGCATGGTGGTTTAAATTCTGAGCTGCAGCAGAGGAATACCTTTAATCCTTGGATGATTTGGTTTAGTCGTCAGCCTAAAGATTCATCTGCTCATAGACGTTATGAGTTTTCTGGCATATTTTCATCCTGAAAAACGTCTTTCTTTCTTTTTCCTGGTCGACCTTTCCTTAAATAAATTAAAAATCATTGAGCTGTGATGAAACATTCAGCAGCCCCTGTTAGGATACCGGACAGCGGGTGGACTGTCTCTCAACTCTGTGTCTGTGCTTTCGCCGGGTCAGAGGCTCTGGCCTGAAGACACTGCACACACTCTGAATGATGAGTCTAAATAATTGACTATTTCTCATCAGCTGGGCTCTACCCTGTGGAAAGAGCTATCAGAACCTGGCTCACCCTGGGCCCACCTGGGCTCCTTTTGTATGCTCAGTGTTACATTGTGAGCTGAGCTGGAAGGACAAAGTGCCCTTCTTCCACAGTGCTGAACTGTTTTTGTAATGGACCATTTTCACTCAGGTCTTCCACGCCTACAAAGTTTGAGAGGGGTCAATCAGTGAAGCCATGCTCAAAATTGCTTGCAGAAAGATAGACATAAAGGAACAGGACTCCCACTGGGGGTCGCCAAAGCTTTGTGGGGGTTGCAAGGCCTTCTTGATTGTAAGGGGTGTAAGAAAAGACAGAAAAATAAAACACAGCATTTTGTTTATTATTCAAAAGAAAAATTAAATTGTAATTTTCAAAGTTTCAATTATTATTTGAGGTATAAAGTCAAAGGTCAAATTTATATCATATCCACTGTTATTGTAACTTCCTGCAGTTATTGAGTTCATTATTTGGGTTCATTGTCATGATTAGTCAGGAGTACTCGATGATGGAAATGGGGTCCCTTAAGGAAAAAGGTTGGGAACCACTGGAATAGACCATAAGTTCAAAGCAGGGTATCACACCAAACCATCCCTGATTCAATAAAGAACAAATAAATGTGCATAACGCATGAATATATATTTGGCGAGGTGATATATGACAGCAATCAGCGTGTTACACAATGATGAGAAACCCGACATAAAGGTTAAAAACTAAGAAACAAGCCAACAAACAACAGCTGTGGCTTAGAGGTAATCAGAAGATGGACTGTTTGCATGTTTAAGTGTCCTTGGGCAAGACACTGAACCCCAAATTGCTCCCGTTGCTGTGCCATCAGTGTGTGAGCGTGTGAATGGGATTAGTTAATTTCTGATGAGCAGTTGGCACCTTGCATGGCAGCCTCTGCCATCAGTGTGTGAGTGGGTGAATGTGACATGTTGTGTAAAACGCTTTGAGGGGGTGCTATACAAGTGCAGTCCATTTACCATTTATATTTTTCCAGAATCTCCATTTTTCAGTACAAAATAGCAGATAGTAGGGCTGTGTATTGGCAAAAATATGCCAGTACAATACATATCACGTTACAGGGGTTACTATTCAATATATTGCAATACAATGCAATAATGTATTGTATTGTATGTATATTGTGATTTTTAAAAACATCTAGTTTTAGGAAAACTGTTATAGTATATGTAAGAACACACCACTAAAAAGCTGTTTATTTTAAAATTACGATTGATATGTTTTTAATTAAGTTTGAACAAAAGAAAAAGTCAAGTACCCCCTGCAGTACTCCAGAGTACCCCTAGGGGTACTAGTACCCCCATTAAACACACTGCTTTAAAGGGGAACAACAAAGTTTTTATACTGTGTGCTGCTACTGGAGAAGTTTCTTTTTTTACACCACGTAGTCATTTTTATGTTCTGTTGATAGTTTTGTTTGTTGTATTCGTTTTTGTTTTTCCTTCATATTCTTTTCCACATAACTATACTTGATATTTTGTATTATATATGATGTAAATGTTTATCTTGTACAGAATATATACAGTGAGAGCTGAACAGGTTATTATAAGACTTTGTTTTTCGCAATTCATCCCTGTGAAAAATAATTCACAGGCACTG